GGTGAATAAAAAGAATAATGCAAGAAATTTTCACGCGGCAGAAAAAGGAAGGACCCATCATAAATTAAATTAAATTTTTTGCAGATTAACATATTTTATTGCTCGGTTAAAATTTTATTATTTCCCTTGTCACCAACAAGTAGGAAAATTCATTAAAGATCTGTGTCTATATTTACTCAACAGTGATAGCATGAGCAATCAACGACAGTATACTGCATAATTTCATCGGCATAGGAAATTAACAATTAAAATAAAAACATACGTTGCGACGGCTCTGCTGTCACCAAAAATTCAAGGATTCAAAACCTCTTATAGATTGTAAATGCAAAATCAGAACTCAGTCTCATTTCTGAGTTTTGTGACAGATATTTCTACTGTAAATCAAATCAGATAACTTCTACTGCGTCCAAGTTTTAAGCCAATCATCTGACTAAATGCAAAGCTCATGGTTAAATAAAATTAATGCCCTGCTGTTTTCTCGCGGAGATTTTCAGGCTCTGAAAGCTTCCAGTCATTAGTATGAACATTTAATCGCGTCATCTGTCAATTCGCAAGCCTAACAATTCCCGAAGCAGTTATTGTGACGACAGAAGCTATGCAATTTGCTAAATACAATTACCATCGCAACTATAGCTTGAAGCGAATATTTTTTTTGTGGTAGTGGGAGGTATTTGCCTGGTATTGGGATTAGTTGAGGAAACACTAAATTCAATCTTTGTTTTTTTTCACTTTAAATTATGGAATGTGGCGCGAAAGAATTAAAAGCTCGCTATGTTTATACAGAAATAAGGTTTTTAAATTTAATAATGGCTAGCTTGATTTTATTTCTCAAAATTTGAGGTTTAAACGATGAATTTTGAACAACAATCATCAATACGCAGTCAAAAACTCCTGTCAAGATCGTTCGACGCGTTTTCATTTAAATGGTTATGACATATTAGGTCATTTATATTGGAGACGACATTACTTTTAATCCGGTTCAAGTTGAATATGAACCCGCTCACATGAAAGAACTATTATGTGCTTGTTTTCACTACTTTTTAGAGCTAAAAATACACGGATAAGAACTTCTAAGGCAATTTGTTCTTGCTGGAGCCTAAATGTAACAATTCTCTTTCCACAATTGCAGCGAATTGTATAGCTCGTCGTCCGCAGATGATCGCCTATATCATGGCTCCGGGGATAGTACATGTTATTATTTCCATATGCTTGCTGGCTCTAAAAAAATTTATTTTTTAGCATTCAAAACGGGCGTATACTGATCTGCTTGATACTATGCATTTCATCCCTTTAAGTTTTATATAACGTGAGCGCGTGTACAGTAAAGGGGCCGTAGAGGCCGCGGTACTCTGCCGGCGGGTCAGTGCGACGCCTGGCGTCGCGGTGTGAGGTGTGTGAGGTAAAGCGTCCTGCGTACCGCGCCGCCGAGTGACTGAGGATGTGGCCGTTGAAAGTTCACTTGTATTTCGAAATTATTAACTTGTTAGAGGTGCTTTCAGGAGAACCTACCGTGTTTTATTGTGAACATGGAGCAGTCTTTTCTAAAATTTTGTTAGAAAATAATTTATAGTTTTTGTGATGCACGGAATGCATCTAAGAACAGTCACCACACATCACTCTTAATTAAGCCATGAACACTTTTTAGTGTCTCATGGTTTATTGTTGGAAACCGTAATACTACATAATCATTCTATCGCCCCAATTCAATCTCGCCCGCTTCGACGTAAGCATAAACGAATTCTCGTCTAATTTGAGTATATTTAATGTTAACGGGATCCCTGCGCTGCCCAATTATAACTTTACTATTTAAACAGCGATCATGTGACGTGACTCGGTCATTGAAGCGCGAGCCGCTGACGCTGCAGGGAATCCAGGCGTTCGCCTATAAGATTACATGACCTTGGCGATGTGATGTCGCTGATGCCTTCAAGCTTGTGGCTTGCGATTGCGTCATCAATAATTGTAATGTGAGAGATAATAGCTGAAGACATATCAATATCTATCTTAAATCGTAAATCTACGAAAAATACTAACGTTCTACATCATTGATTGTTCTCAAGGTACAAATATTTGTTGGCAATTGAATGCAATTATATTATTTTTTGCAGGAAAAACTGTCGGAACTGGCCTATAACATTTTTCTGATTTTTATTTTTACACCGAAAAATTTTTGTGTCCAAGAATAGTTCGAAATCATTTAAAATTCGTAGAGTCTTTTCCATGAAAATTTGATAGCACTAATTTGTATTGCAACGAAATGCCTCGCACATCGCACGAGTTACACTCACTTATGTCGGTAATTTATTTTGTTCGAGATTTTCCTCATACAGTATAATTAAAATTTCGGTTTAAATACTATGTTATTCCATGAATTTAATAGAATTAATCTGTTAAAGAAAAACAGTAGAGACTTGTTTTGATTTATTGCTAGGATTTCTTGTAACCATAGCAATAGGCAAGTTCCGCATGGAAAAATCTTGAACTCACAAATTTCGTTTGCAAATTGCAATGAAACTTGAAAATAAGTGTCATGAAATATTTTTAATGTCCCTAAGTTGAATAATTTTTTACTCAGCGAGTCGATGAGTGCGAAAAATTCTCTGTTTTACTAAAAGATTTTTTAACATGGATATGGCAAACACAGAAAATAGATGGTGGCAAGTACAGAAGTGCGTTAACTATTTCATAACTTGAAATACCAGGATTATAAACACAGATGAAATGGATGTGTGACAGACAGCGTTAGCTTTCGAAAATTCATTTAAAAATATACTTGAGCGCAATAAATTGTTTTGTACGACTTAGTGTTAAAAATTCGGATTTCAAAACTTTTTTCATGTATTCATTATCGTTACGTCATCGAACGAAAAAAATGTGTCAGAGTAATTAATCTTTACTTATTTCTCTGAATAAGTTATCTTAGCTTTCAGTTAACGAAAAAAGGAGTTTGTTATGACATTGATAAAGAGAATCTTGATCGCACGTTTCTTATTGTCTGTGCGTGATTATTTTCATTGTGACGACATCAGCGGCTTTAAAATTTGAACCTCTGCAAGAAGTATCGTGATGGGAAATATTCAAAGTATTATTTATGTGGAGCAGGGAATTTCGAGGGCTGCTTAAGCCCCTGCGACGCAGCGCGACCTCAAACACTGCCCGGGCGCCGTGTTTGTCCATAATAATGAAGTGGAGGCTATCATAATAATGAAGTGGAGGCTATCATAGTAATGAAGTGGAGGCTATCATAATAATGAAGTGGAGGCTATCATAATAATGAAGTGGCCTCTACTTCATTATTATGATAGCCTCTATCATAATAATGAAGTGGAGGCTATCATAATAATGAAGTGGAGGCTATCATAATAATGAAGTAGAGGCTATCATAATAATGAAGTGGAGGCTATCATAATAATGAAGTGGAGGCTATCATAATAATGAAGTGGAGGCTATCATAATAATGAAGTGGAGGCTATCATAATAATGAAGTGGAGGCTATCTAACTTTACCTGCTGCGTAAAACTCAGACTTATCCCTGGCAACAGGCGCGTCGTTCATGAATGTTGTTTCTAGAAGGCTATGGAAGTATTTTTTCAGTTTTTGTATAATTTATTAATGAGAAAACCATGTTTAGCGATAAAGAAAGGCAAGGAAAAGGCAAACATTTTCAACAATATTCACCTTTTTGAAACGCCGTAAATGCACCTTCTTTGACGGCTCGAAATAGTTTAACTTAAACATTTCATGCAAGCAATCTGATTCGAAATAGTAAATTATTGTCATGCATTTGTATTTACTATAAATCTGTAACTAACTTCCATGCTGATAATCAAATTTTATTTTAATTTAATTCGTCTCCACATTTCTTCAAACATATCAATTCAGACCTTCAATTGATATATAAAAGCTGTTTGCATGACAAACTTAATGAACTCTGGAAATTACTTCCTACTTCACACGACCTCATAATTTTTCCTTCAATCTGCTCGAATGGATCCTGATTGCAGAAATACATTCAACATTAGCACGTTTTTAATGCAGATAGCGTCTGAGCCTCTTGAGTTTCATTGGATATTCATCACGAGGCTCTACTCAATTTAGTCGCTCTATGATGCACAACCACAGTAAATGTGATGGAAAGCGAGAGACTGCCAATTCAATTACAATGATCCTATTTGTTATTGGTAGATGCAAGTGTTCAAATTTTCGAAATTTTTAGCCCTTCATGATTAGAGATTCACTGAAATTTTCATCCACATTTTTGTTGTGCCAAATGATCTCATGAAGCAGTTGATATTAACAGAGATGAGAGTGCGATAAACCGGGACGCGATTGCATGAATGCTTTTTTTTCATTGTTGATTGTCATGCAGTATTAGGTCAGATATTACTATTGATAAAAACACTCGTACCTAAATCTGTCAATATTCGATCAATTTTTCGCTCAATAATTGACGTAAAAGAATGGTCATCCCGAAACATAATCTGCAACTTCGCATTTATTTAAAAACTTTACTTTCTACAATTTCCACAATCGATTTCGAATCTCATGAGCAAACATAAACTCTACGATCCAAAGTCGACAACAAGCCTGTTACGGAGCTCGCGAATGATTCAGAATTTCGAATAAACATTTTGATGTAAGCAGCTTTTTTCGGATGATCGGATTTCGTGAAGCTCAGTGCAATTTGGTGTTTATTTAAATGGCGGATTGCAGTAAGACCGAAATTATTCCCAGATATTATTTATTGAATTCTGATAGGCTCATGAGCTGCCATTAGAATTAGAATAAAAATTGTCATAGTCTCATGAATTTGTTCAATGCGGTCTTGCAGTGTATGGTGTTTGAAAAAATCTGAACCTTTATAATTTGAAATGACAAATCAAACGAAAAATTACAAGTGTTTCGTCCACGAGCACGAAGCAGTGATTTCCGTTTAACTTGAGCTAAATAAATATTTTATTGCATAATTCATGAATAAATGTGAGTGTTTGAGCAGTTTAAATAAAATATAATTAGCGATGGACCCCGCGACAATATTCAAGATAATAACAAACAGCACCTGGATTGGTGAGTCTGATAGTTTGATTGTTATTGTCATGAGTTGATTTTCATCACCTTATGTATATTTAATGAGTTGTTCATTTCCTTTTGTACGCATTAATCTCATAGTATTAGTCAACATTCATGTGTTTCTCTCTTGAGGCTTATTTTGTTTGAAGAACGGTGCGCGTATAGAGAGATACCGTACCTGAGATACCCTTCTGTACGTACTTATGTCATTCCCAAATTATAATTTTAAGCGTTGCAAATAACTCTTCACTTACTTGATTATGAATAATGCACACTCGAAACGTCGCAAATTCTAATAAAATATCTCTCGGAAACCTTATTTTTGAACTTTCTAATCCAACAAGTAGCCTGATTAGCCAAATAGAGAAAAGTAATAAGAAAATCGTCAATAAAATAAACTGTCTGGTCTTCAATTGAACTTATATTAAAAAATATAACTCAGTACTCACTGCAGTGAGTGACAGAGAGCGCATTTTCTCGTCGACGAAAACGTGAAGTCACGGACGGACAGACGGACGGACGGACATGGCGAGCACAATAACGCCTTTTTTCATAAATGAGATAATGCGCTAAAAACAGCTTCTGCCTAACCACACTAATGTATAGAGACAGGCAGGTATTCACGATACTTATCGTGTCATGATATTACCTTTTCTAATGATTTACTTATTTACAATGATAGAATGAGCCATTTACAATTATAGATTTCTGATCACTTTGCAGTCAAGAGAAAAATCTGTGAAAATTTGTTTATGATCCCTAAATATAGACTATAAATCGCGATCCATGGATTCACGATCGTACCTTAGCGTCTTTGAGCAATGAAGCCGCGTCTTCAAGACAAATTCGCCGTCTTCGTGACGTAGAAAAATTAAGAGGAGACTTAATTAAAAAAATTTAACGAGTACTATATTTTGAGCATTCAAGTACAGTTGCAATCACGAAAGAGGGTCAAATTTTCCCCAAATTCCCCTACAGGACTTGAATGAGAGTTTCATGCAAACATGACATGAGTTTTGAACAGTTCATTCATAAAATTACGGTGCTTTTGTTTAAAAATTATTAACTGGATTCAGAACGATGGCTTGCACCTGCAGATAAATTTTTCCCGCGTAGCCTGCAAATCATTTTTATGAAATTGAAATAAAGGGGAATTAATTGTTAACCATTCAGGATTTATTCAGGTGGTTCTCATTATTTAAAATTTTGTATCAATCTTCAAGTTTTAACAAATTCACTTATTGAAATAAATTACCATATTTAGAAAGTTCCTCTCACAATTATTCTCACCAATAATTATATTTTTAAACTTGCGCATTATTCTAATTAAACCATTCTATATTACGGTTGCATATCACAAATATCTCACCGTTGATCGAACCATCATCTCCTTTACTAGACCATTTCGTACCCGCTCTCAGCACCGAAACTTTTCGCGTCAGTAACTACATCCAGGAACTTATAATTCGGGGTAACTCATGGAAATTTGATGCAAAATTTTGTTGAATTCATGAGTGTTTTCTTACGAATTTAATAGAATACTTGCCCTTTTTGAACTTGGCAGCTTGAAAGAAGATTAAATTGCCAACTTAACGCTTGTTGCTAGTTCCACGCCATACTGAAGCAAGTTCGAAATAATTTCATCATTTTTGAAATAATATGATTGGTTTTGAATAATAACGTTGTTTGGTGTGTAAATAATTATCAACATGCATATAATAATATTAATCAAAGACAGAAATCAAAGCGGTATTGTCACCTGATATGTTTCTCGGAAAGCAATGTTTAGCCAGGAACGTACATACGAAAAATAATCTGAAATGAAGGCGATAATGTTATAAAAAAAAACTGTCAATGAAAATTCGCAAAAAACAGCTGCATGGCCTAATAATTTAAAATAATATTTTGGAATACATAAAAATCTGAATTCTTATGTTAATAATTATGTTATGTTAATAATCATGTTCTGATAATAATTAAGAGGATGATGATATCCAACAAAAAATCAAAATCTTATAATCATCAAACTTTATTTCAGAGGACTGAAGGATATTCGAGTATCAAAATTTTCACTATATGATTATGAAATAAAAGACGGTAAAGATTTGGCATTTCTTATTTCAATGCCGCGTTATGAACGATTTGAAAAGTCTCGTTCCACATCTCGAAATTACAGATCCCGGTCACACCCATACAATGTGGTTATTGCTGATACGTTCATGAATAACAGCTAGTGTGTGTAGCGGCAAGTTTCTTCATCTAACACCTTAACAAACATACAAACTTTAGAAAAAAAGAGTAGCTCGACATAGCGAGTTACTGATGAAGATCCTTCAAGTTAGTCATGGCGGAGTGTTGTGACTTTTAGTTAACGATCACAATTTTTATATATTTTATTTACATTATGTATACATCTCATATACGCATCTGCTATAATTGATGAAAGTGTGAATTACCTGGAATCTAATTGGACTCGAATTAATGTCGCCGCTGTGCTAAATTTTCTGCGTCACAATTTGGTGACTGCTTACGAATTATGTTTTTCTCGATGCGATCATTTTTTTAAGGAAAAATCTATGTAAAAATAATTGTTAACTCCCACAATTGCGACTTGAGATTTTTAATAAGTTCACGTAAACCAATTCCATATTTTCCTGCGTATTTTTTATTCAAAACTTCTTGGGAAGCGTTGGTACTTAACGATCAACCATTAATTTTTACTTCGTATTAGCTCTCTTTATACATTATTATTTCTAAAGTCAATGCAGCTACAAGTTCTTTATTTCTTCAATGCGTTTCTAAATATTTTTTTTATGTTTTACTACATTGAGTTATCTGATAGCTGAACACTCGTATACATAATCCACAGAATAAAAGTATTTCGTATTTTATCAGCAGCAATCTACATGCATACGATCGTTCTCTTATGATTGATTGTTGGCTGCCTAAAATAAAAACAAGTGATCCATTTGCAGAGGCAAACATGCTGCTTCATTTTTTGCGCCGGTGCTGACTGTTATAAGCGACCGTTTTGTGGAGAATTTTCGATTAAGTTTCCTTCTAACTGAGTGTAGAAAAACATATAAAACTTTTTATGGCTTTAGAGATAAACGACAGAAAATGAATTACGCCAGAAAATGAGTTTTTGAATTCGTTATTAAGGTCAATACATCGACTTATTCGGAAAGTTTAAATGTTGTTCTCAAGCAAGCAGTGATGCTGAACGTAGTAATGATTTCATGACAGGTTGATGTCAGTACAATAATTAGATTACAATAATGGGTAGTAAGATATTGTATAACTAGTATTGAAATCTTTGCCATTAATTCGGGTTTTTGGCCTTCAAATTAAAGTTTTAAGAAATTTGAGCACTCGTTGCTTAGTAAATTATACAACGTCAACCATGGTTGCTTAAGAATTAATTTAAATCTATTTATTGCCCTTGTCTTACCATTTGTGCGTTGACTCATATTTTTGACGATTTACATTCATTATTTGAGAACAATTTAGCTGAGTTTTATAAAGGAAAATAGCAGTGAATTGATGTTTGTGAATGACTAAAGGGGAATTCTCAGTGAAAGTGAATAATAATCTGCGCCAGCTATCATTCACTATTCGCATGCTATTCACAGTACAAAGCTCCAAATAAGTAAATCTCAATGCAAATTTGAACGCAACCTGCAGACTAACCTTGTGTTGCAGTGACGCAGCTCATGAGCGGCCAGTCGGTTCAGTTCAGCCAGAAGAATTACGTAGTCCAGGTCTCTGAGGCGGCCGCCCCGGGCACCATACTTCTACTACAGGCAGTTTCTCCCCATGAGGGTACATATATTTTTGTGCGTAGTTTTACCCTACGAAGTAATTTTTGTTCCTAGTCTATAATCCCGGATAATATTTTATTGGTACTGTTTTTAGAAACTATCATTAGGTTGCTGTTTTCTTGATTCTGGATCTCAATAAACAATTGAACGTTCGGTGTTAGATGAAAATGTATCCTTTCATTTATGCGGCTATAATCGTGATTAACTCGGCAAAATATATCTGTAGTATTTGCGCGAAATTGTCGCATGCTGATCGTCTAATTACAATTTTGATATTTCAACGCATGGTTATCTTTAGAACTATGAAACGTGAAGAAATCTGTTTTTGTCTGACTCCAGTTAAATATTTTATTTTACATTTGAAATGTTCTGTACATATTTATTAAAAGAAGTGCCAGCCTCTTGTAATTTATGAGTTAAAGACCCACGTCTCTAGATGTTATTTACTCAAATCCAAATTACGGTAAATAGAAGGTGTTTAAAGTTTTTAAATTTAGTTTTTTTTTTATTATTATGTTTAACAGCTTAATTCTTAAGCAGTCTCAACAATAACCTTTAAGCTATTAGCATTTTAGATACCTGCGAAAAGTTTTGTCAATATATAGATCGAATTTTCTTTCCTGCATATTTTTCACGCAAGTTTAAACTTCGTACTTACTGAAAGCTTTTCGAAATAAAATTACATTAACCCTCAGTGATTGCCTTGGGAATGTTGTTCAGCGCCGCGGTAGACTTCTCTAAAGGCACCAGTGTAATCATCTTTATAACATAATGTAATTTTGCATCACGATAAATATGCTCAATAGGCCTTCAAGATTTAGAAATAATCTTGAACAAATTTATGCACCGTAAACAATCTGCTTTGCATTAAATGCTTTACTCATATAAATCATCAATGAAGGTTAATTCTCGTGAAGAGTTCATTATGAGAAAGAGTAGATGCGACCATAATATTATCAATGCATCAATGAATTTTGGTGATATTATTCATGGAATGAATATGTTCGCACGGCTAACTTTGAGCCGTGAAAAAACGAAAGCTTAACTCTTCTTAATGGTTTCCCGCAATTTCTTGAAGACAAACGAGGCAAGCAGGTAGATTCATGACGAAATTAAACAAACATTACAATGATATAAATATGATCGTAAATGGTATTGCTGTTTCAATTTCCAGTAATAATCAAATTATTTTCTTATCAGATCTGAAGCAAGTTCAAGTACAGAAAAAATGATTCCTTACTGTGTTTAGAAATTCAATCTGTTAATTGGGCTCATTTGTAATTAAAAATTGATTTGACCCTAACAAGTAATTACTGCTTATGATATTATTTCAAATTTCCGTTCTCTGTGTTTACAAACTTTGGCTTTTAGAAAGGTTAACGGTAAATTTTTTACATATTCCAGTCAATATTCCAGGTACGTTAAATCGTTCACTATTTTTGGCTTTTGATTATTACTTTTATTCTTTTTTGTATCTTAGGGGTTACTTTATTTTTTCCCTCAAGCCGATGATGGAAACTTTAGAAATTTAATTTGCCGTTGTTACCACTTCGTTAGATTTATTTGCAAAAGTTGTTAAGGTTTTTCGCCTGTGCTCGCAATGTAAAATTTAAGTTACTTTCCCTGGCATTTCAGCTGGGCGAGGTAGCACTTTACGATGAGATACAGTACCAGTCGCGTATGCCGAGCTTTGCCTCAGTAATTTAGTGAATTGTATCCACTCAACCCGTAGCTGCAATACTTGCCATACACTTTGTATAATTATCATGTAAAAACTTTATATGCTTGGATTAGTTCTCAATATATATCCTTAATGAACATTTCGTACGTGACAGAAATCGTTGGCATCAACCACAACTCGGGTCAAATTATTCAACCCTGAGAAACCAGTCAATCTATGCGAGACTTTGTAAGAGGAAACAGTAATGAAATTCATTGCTCATGTTTCGCCAAGTATGGCTTATTCTCCCCTACAGCAATCATTTGTCAACTTTTCTTAACGTTTTCTACCTGCGACGGGCAGTTGCGCAGACTTTTCTTATCAAATCAATATAGTTAGGCATAATCACGAGAATCTTGGAATTTCTCCCGGCAGAGGCGGCCGTGCTCTACAAGCTTGCGAGCGAAAGCGCTTCCCCTCTTTTTCGAGTGGACGCTCAGTCAGGCGCCCTACAGTTGCTTGGTCCCCTCGACTTCGAGTACCAAACTCAGGTGAGGGAGAGACTCGAGTGCCGTGCCATGAGAGGGCTGGTTGAGGGCAGCAGCTACGACGCGAAGGTTGCTGCAAGTCAATTGGATGAAGAAATTACGCTGAGACTTGTATGGAGATCATTTCTGAACAAAGTGGATGATAGCCGAAAGTTGAGGTGGTTATATATGAATACGGAGGGGCTGATGGATAGCATTGGTATTTGGTAGGACATACTATTTTTGTATGGATTATTTGGTAAACATTGTATTTTTGCGATAACGTTTCTGCGGAAATATATGAATATGATCCAACATGAATAGATTCAACACTGTTTACGGGCGCTGGCAATGCTGAATATCATACCTTTGCGCTAACATAAATAATAATCCGGATAATACAGAAAATATTATATTCAGCCAATGAAGTAATTCTATAAATGCATAAATTTCAGTTGAAATTTTTTCCAAAACTGTTTAGAATATGCGGGCGTTCCTTTTCCTCAGCACAACCTGACGGTGATAGCAACGAGCAAGGATGGCAGGATCGGCAGCAACGAAGCTCACGTGACAGTCGAGGTGCTCGACGCCAACGATCACTCGCCAGTCTTCGCCGTCCAGCGACATGAGGCGCAAATAACTGAAGAAGATAACCACAACTTGCCCAGGCCGGTATTTACGGTCAGTTTAGATTGTAAATTTTTTCACTTCAAATAATCACAATTATTAGATTATGAATTCAGTTGAACATTTTCATTCAATTATCAGATCTCAATTCAGTTAAAAAATATGCGTTTAAAAATTACTTTTAGAGGAAAACACTTCTAAAGAATCCAGTGTCTCCGATGTAGCACATGTACAATGAATTTCTAATTTTATTTTCGTATATTAAAAAAATAATTTTTAGTTTTTCAAATAATAAAAAAATTAAATGTTCAAAATTATTCATTCTGTCAGTTGATTCATGCATTGTCTCCGACTTTACGCAAGTGTGCAAAATTTCAGATCGATTGGACAGGTATAAATGTGTTCAATATCGATTATGAAAATTGTAACAGACAAACAAGAAGTGAAGTTAAAGTGAAGTGTCGTAAAAATTGATATGTGGCCTGAAATTGAGGAATTTTTGCATTTTAATAAAATGATTGACATATTCTATACTACTGGTCGAACTGGTCCCAGTGGTTTAACCCGGAATTTAAAGGCTAATAAAATACGCAAAATGTACCTCGGACTGTGGCCACAGAGTCATAAATAGTCAAGATTTTTTGGCTCTATCGGCCAATCACTGATAGCTTTTCAAGCCAAACTCATCAATCACAGACGAAAAATTAGTCGCTACGTGTGCATAGGCCGCTACGTGTGCGTGGGCTGCTACGTATGCGTAGGCCGCTACGTGTGCGTAGGCCGCTACGTGTGCGTAGGCCGCTACGTATGCGTAGGCCGCTACGTGTGCGTAGGCCGCTACGTGTGTGTAGGCTGCTACGTGTGCGTAGGCCGCTACGTGTGCGTAGGCTGCTACGGTTGTGTAGGCCGCTACGTGTGTGTAGGCCGCTACGAGTGCGTAGGCCGCTACATGTGCATAAGCCGCTACGAGTGCGTAGGCTGCTACGTGTGCGTAGGCCGCTACATGTGCATAAGCCGCTACGAGTGCGTAGGCCGCTACGTGTACTTTTGCAAGCCTTGTAAGTTCGGCCGCATGACTTCTCTGGATGCGATTGGAAGACCAAGTCACTGACTGAACAAGTGATGACGCTGACCTCAAAACCGTTTATATTTTTATTTGAATATTGAAAATATTGAGCAGCTTTGTAGTATTTTTTGTAGCTTTATTTCAATTTATTTATTTATTTATTTATTGATACTGATGTTATAAGTAAGCTTGGGTCTCGAGGGATAATTTTGTATGCTAAAAGAGGAGTTTTGTCATTGTATCCTGTGAAATCGTATTGGCGTTCATCAATATTTTCTCCCCATTTAAATTTCCAAGATAATATCACTCGTTTGCTTGAATCGCAAATTCACTAAAACTTGAAAGCAAAGAAAACTCCACAAAAATTCATAGTATCTTTAAAGAAAACGTTTCGGAGTCCAGCTCCATCGTCAGTTCGAAAATTCTAGAACACAGATAAATCAGTGATTAGTACAGTCAAGAATACAACGAAAAAACCTAAGCTGCAAAACCTACCTATTTACAATTTCAAGCGGGTAAGAGCTAAAAGCTAAATTCAAACTAGGCCTCTGTTTAAAAATATACAATGATTCTAGAATGCACAAATCAGAAACACCGGAACTGGAAGCTGAAACTTTGAAGTCACTGTCAGAAACTGGAACATCGCACTGCTCGGCGTGAACCCGCACAGCCGAATGAAGGGGGCGCGACAGTAAGTTACCAGTTCTACAACTCCTGCCCCTATGTTCTGCGACCCTTTAAAATGAGATTATGTCCCTGTCACACGCAGTTTGACGCTGTCAATGTTGACGTTGCTTAAGGGAAGCGCATGTTTTTAAGGGTAGACATCGTGAGATGTAGGATGCTTTAGTTTATTGGTATTGATATTAAAATGTAGGGGGCATTAGGATATTCTGGTTCTGAGTCCTGTGAAAGTCGATTTTCGGAATACAGAAGTTTGAAAACGGCCATTAGATTTAGTAATATTGCAATCGAGGAAGGACAGGCTATTGTTAGATTCCAGTTCCGTAGTAAATTTGTTGGATTTATGTTGCGAATTTAGGTAATCGAAAAAGAGTTTAACGTGAGAAGGATGCTTAAAAAGTAAAAAAGTGTCATCAACGTGTCTGTTGTAGAATATTGGCTTAAAATCAAGAGGGCAATTGGACAGCCAGGAAACTCCGTGAAAACACATAAAAATATTTGCAAAGGTTGGGCCGAGCGGAAGACCCATGCCCAAACCGTCAATCTGTCGGTAAAACTTGTTAGCAAGTATGAAAAAAGAGTTTATAACAGATAATTCCAAAAGAGATTTTAAAAAATTACGTTTCAAACCTATAACGAGGTCATTTACATCCTTAAACAAAGAATTCAGGCATATATCTATGGTTTCATGAATTGGCACATTAGTAAATAAATTTTCCACATCAAAAGAGGCCATAGTTAGGTCCTGGACGTTTGTAAAATCCTTTAAGCGGTCCAAAAACGTATAAGAATTGTCTACAGTATACTTATTAGTCGTGAGACAGTTCAAAACAGGTACCAAAAACTTAGCAAGTTTAAAACTAGGCGTATTGTAAGCGGCAAAAATTGGCCGGAATTGAAACTTAGTGGCAAAATCGGACTTATGAATTTTGGGCAAACCATATAAAATACCAGGACATGAACCAGATGTATAAAGTTTAGAATAAGTTTCCGGTGAAAAGGCAGAAGAATCTTTAAGTTTTCGCAAGAAGTTATTAATTTTGTTTTCAATTTTCAAAATTGTTTTAGAAATTGAGTCTGTAATTTCAACGAATTTAGAAGGATCGGTTATAAGTTCAATAAGGCTACTGCTGTACCGGCTACGATCGACCAATACAACCCCCCTACCTTTACCAGGTCTACAAATGATCAGGTCTCTATTTTTGGCCAAATCTTTCAATAAAAGAGTGTCACGGGGTTTGAATAAAGAAGAAAAAATTCTATATGACATGAATCCATAAAAATGACGGTAGGCTAAGCTTTGCAGCTCCCCAAGAAATTCAGGTCGGTTGGGGATTGAAACATTCTTTATGCTCAAAGCGAGTCTTTCAAAGGCTAAAAAAATTTATAATAGTCTAACTTAAAAATGGGCAGACAAAAATCAAGGCCAAAATCTAACAAAAATTTGGCGCGGGGTTCCAGGCTGAATGAACTATAGTTAAAAACGACCTTATCTGGGTTGACAGGACGATTTTCGTTGTGGATTCCGAGGTTGTGAAGTTTCTTTTGAGGAGTCTGACCAGTTACTTTTTTGAAAGCTTCCGTAAACTGCCTGACATGCCGGCGCACTGCAAAAAAGTCGAGGGTGGAAAACGAACGACCAACTCTTGCTTCACTCTCGGCGACCGAACCGGTTAAAATCTTCAGAGTATTCCTCTTGGAGGATAATTCCTTGATGAGAAGTTTGTTTTGCCATGATTTATAGAAAGCTGAAGTATGTAGACATCTTTTGTACAGTTTAAATCTCAGGAATTTGGGAAAAACACCATATACCTTGCATTTCACCAGAAAATCAATGTCCAACACTGTCTTTGCTGACTTACGGAGGAGATCATGGTATTTTCTTACACAGTGGCAGCCATCTTCACCGTATTTTGAAAGTATATAAGTAATAATATCACTCGTTTGCTTGAATCGCAAATTCACTAAAAACTTAATAGCAAAGAAAACTCCACAAAAATTCATAGTATCTTTAGAGAAAACGTTTCGGAGTCCAGCTCCATCGTTAGTTCGAAAATTCTAGAACACAGATAAATCAGTGATTAGTACAGTCAAGAATACAACGAAAAAACCTAAGCTGCAAAACCTACCTATTTACAATTTCAAGCGGGTAAGAGCTAAAAGCTAAATTCAAACTAGGCCTCTGTTTAAAAATATACAATGATTCTAGAATGCGCAAATCAGAAACACCGGAACTGGAAGCTAAAACTTTGAAGTCACCGTCAGAAACTGGAACATCGCACTGCTAGGCGTGAACCCGCACAGCCGAATGAGAGGGGCACGACAGTAAGTTACCAGTTCTACAACTCCTGCCCCTATGTTCTGCGACCCTAGAATAACCCTTGACTGTACTAATCACTGATTTATCTGTGTTCTAGAATTTTCGAACTGACGATGGAGCTGGACTCCGAAACTTTTCTTTAAAGATACTATGAATTTATGTGGAGTTTTCTCTGCTTTCAAGTTTTTAGTTTAATTAATTTCTAAGATATTATAATTGTTGTTTTTTGTCGTAGTTAAGGCTTTCTGTCATCGATATTCACACTTGATCGTGAAAACAACGTACAGACTTTTTCGAGGGCAGGTTACAGCTACTGATGGAGACAAGGGAGAGTGGGGAGTGCTGCGGTATTCTATTTCTGGGGACGGCACCGCAGCTTCTGATAACCTCCCAAGCTCCGATCATTTCCCAGGCATGAAGATCTCAGCTGCATTCTCCTCGATCGAATATGGCCCCAAGCGACGAGGAAAAACGCACCGTGATCGAGCCGGACAGCATAAACCGAATACCGAGCGCAGAGTTGCGACTTTGTTTATGGAGAACGAAGGACATTACCGGTCGCCACCTCTCCTAGATCCAGGAGGTGTAGCAGTGAATGGCGCTAATGCATCCATAGCGAGTAATCAAATAGATCTACATAGCGATAAACTGACTGTAAATAGCGACTCAAGTGCAATAAACAGAACGAATATAGCTGGAAAGGTCCGGTTTTCTACTGATAATATCCCAGAATCAGGCTTACACAATTCTAATAGAGTTGTAGAAGGCCTTTCTAAAACATTACATAACACAGTCCCAAGTGAAGGCAATCATAACTTTTCTTCTTTAGATCCAGATTTACTTTCGGAAAATGAACATTTTCATTACGCTCATTCATCGGAGAAGAGAAAAGAAGCTGCCTTCACAATTGATCCGGTCACAGGCACCATAAAAGTCATGCAGGTGGGAATTGTTTAAACTTTGCTGGCCTTTCGATGATATTTTGTGGCGCTTTTCGATATTTAATTTACATGCTTATCGAAGTGACAGCGTTTAGAGAATAATGAAATATTTATTAGGATCACTATTATCAATAAAAAATATCTGTGAATACTTGTGTGTTTAAATAATGATGCTTTGTAGAAATATTGTGTGTGTATATATAATTGAAACTATGAGATATTATAAAACGGGGAGGGATTAAGTAAATTTAAAATGGAAATTCCATGCCACGTAAGGACCAAACGGATCTTCTTAAGGGCTTAAAAATCCAGCCCTATAACGGATCTTTTAAATATGCATTACGTCAAATTTGAAAATTGTTCACGTATATTGAAGACAAAATTCGTGAACATTTTATTTTATGAGACAGTATAAGAGTAATTGATATAAAAAATGTGGTAACAGACTTAACATATGTATATCAATCAGGGTTTACCTGTCTAATGCAGGGCCGGGTTCAGCAGCCACTGATTAATACTATATGAGCGCTAAATGGCTTCTCGAACTATTTTTTCACTTTAGTCAATCCGCTGCCTTCCTCTTATAATATTATCATGGTGAATTATTCTACAAGTGTAATATTTTGATCCTGTTTAAACTATTTCTGGATTGCCAAACGATTGTTCTAAAATTGTCGATCACCCCCGGAAAGTTGAACTCCATAACATTGTCACCTTCACCAGCCCCTAGATCGCGACCCACCTCACGGGCGTGCAACGTGGCGCTTAGTGGTGACCGCGTCAGACGGGGAGCTGCAAGCCGACACCGAAGTTGTGGTCAACCTCAAAGACATTAACGACAACGCACCCGTGTTCCTTACTGCACGTGTCGAGGCTACGGTTATTGAGAACTCTCCTAGCGGTGAGTTATTTGCTGTATTGTAGGAGCTCCGTGTTCCTTACTGCACTTGTCGAGGCTACGGTTATTGAGAACTCTCCTAGCGGTGAGTTATTTGCTGTAGGAGCCTCGTGTTCTTTACTGCGCGTGTCGAGGCTGCGGTTATTGAGAACTTTTCTAGCGGTGAGTTATTTGATGCAGGATTTGCTGCTGCTATCTGTTCACGGACTTAGGATAAAAATAATTTTTACCACGTTTTTCTTGACTTCGTTTCGTGTGTGTCTGTCATCAAAAATTCAAACCTTAATTTAGAGCACTTCTAAGCATCCTAGTAAGTTGAAATTTGGCATGCATGCTTATGCTGCCTAACAATTCAAGATTTGATCATCAGAAATAATAATTAAAAAAATTGAAAAAAAAATTTAAAAAACACTAAAAATTCCCGGTTTGGAATTGATGTTTTTCTCGAACATCCACACTTGCCAACCCTGAAAATTGATTTGAATTGCTAAAATTGCTAACTAAAAAGTAGAAAATAAATAAATATAAAAATATTTTTAAAAACCACGTTTTTCTGGTTTTTACAAAACTAAAAATAGTGAAATAAAACAAATAAAAAACTTTTAAAAACTACGTTTTCTTAACGGACAAAAAAGAAAAACATTTTCTCTTACATAACATTACATAACATTTTACATAAATTAAATGTTATGTAGGAGTAAATGTTTTTCTTTTTTGTCCGTTAAGAAAACAAACGTGGTTTTTAAAATTAAAAGTTTTTTTTTGTTTATCTTGACTTCGTTTCGTGTCTGTCTGTCATCAAAAATTCAAACCTTAATTTAAAGCACTGCTAAACATCCTAGTAAGTTGAAATTTTGCATGCATGCTTATGCTGCCTAACAATATAAGATTTGATCATCAGAAATAATAATTAAAAGAAATTAAAAAAAATTAAAATAAATAAAAAAATCACTAAAAATTCACGGTTTGGAATTGATGTTTTTCTCGAACATCCACACTTGCCAACCGTGGAAATTGATTTGAATTGCTAAAATTGCTAACTAAAAAGTAGAAAATAAATATATATAAAAAATATTTTCAAAAACCCCGTTTTTCTGGTTTTTACAAAACTAAAAATAGTGAAATAAAACAAATAAAAAAACTTAAAAAAAACACGTTTTCTTAACGGACAAAAAAGAAAAACATTTACTCATACATAACGTTACAAAATATTTTACATAACTTAAATGTTATGTAAGAGTAAATGTTTTTCTTTTTTGTCCGTTAAGAAAACGTGGTTTTTAAAAGTTTTTTATTCGTTTTATTATAGTACGAATGGAATTCATTGGTGCTTTTCTTGATTCTTTTCATAAATTGTGCCTCGTCGTTTATACCAATTCAATGGTGGTGAAAAATACTTCTCGTTCGTTTACAATTACGAACGTTTTATAAAATACATCACAAATTTTGTTGGTAACTAGACATATTAATGAGGTGATTTCATAATTAATTTATGTGCTTATTTTAGTCAACAGAAATAGTAAACTTTATTTTGAACTCTAATGTCTTAAATTTTTGAAATTGTTATACTCGTTAATAATAATAGTATTGATAGTAATAAGAATATTAATAATAATAGTAATAACAATAATAATAATAATAATAATGAATACAGGAACAATTTGCGATCAGTGCCTTTAAAGACAATGGTAACAGTTTATCAAGCTGACTTCAATGTGACAGCATTTTTCTCATGAGCTGGGAAGCCCTTAAGGCTTCTTTGTTCGGCAGCAATCGACAGTTTGCAAAAGCTCTGAACCTTTCATCTTGAAGATGCACCGTCAGTGCATTATTCTAATGGAGGTCTTTAACGTCTTCTCGGCGCCTTTCAGAGAATTTCGTGCAATTGAGGAATGCGGAGGCATCATTTTCCATATAGAGCATTTTAGTCTCTGCAAACACAAGTGCTTTGATTCTTCCTTAAGGTTACCTTTTTTTGAACATAATGCACTCCGTCATAGCTCGTCGCTTGGGAATTTGCCATCGTCATAACCGACCTCGTTTGCTTCCTGCCGTAAACCAGGCACGCCTGTAGTCACGATAACAGCCGAAGACTTCGACGACAAGAACGAAGGGTCCAATTCTAAGCTGATTTACTCGTTGCAAAAGAATGCTGTGGACGAAGAAACTGGCCTGGCAATTTTCACCGTCAATGCTTCGACAGGCAGTATCAGCACAGCCATGTGTTGTCTGGACAGAGAACGTGCGAGTCATTACAGCCTAACTGTTGCTGCTACAGATGGAGGTGGATTGCAAGGTTAGCAATTGTCTACTTCAACTAAATACATCTCACGGCACATTGAATGTTAATTTTAAAGTAATTTCGCACTGATAAGGTGAAATACAATTTAAACGCCACTTGCAGATTACTTTTCAAAAAGTATTTCCAGTGCCCAATATGAATAATTTTCATAACATGACCAATTTCACTATAATAAATTATAAATGATAAACTGTGTTTACTTGCATTTTTTATGAAAACATTCACTCCATGACTAATATTGAAAATATTTTGATAAATAATTTGCTAAGATTTATTTCCACGTCCATACTCGTTACCAATAAGAATAATATGTATTTTTGACTCGAATAATGCATAGTTAAACATGAAGATTGCATTCAATTCCTAACCATTGTCGTTGTATATGAGCTCCACATTGAATTATTTATGAACTGCATTGCGAAATTTAGAGTTTTTTCTATTACATGAATTTTGAAAAATCCGCAAAAAAGGCCGTTTGTGGATATTTATATAGCAATCATTCCTGAGAGTTATTTTAAAGACAGACGTTTACTGTGAGCATCTTCTTATTTAGTATAAAAGAAATATTACCTTATTTAAAAATAGTGTATGATGATTTTTTGGAACAATATTCTCATAAAATCTTTATCTTTGCCTCTGTTTCTCCACCAAAAATAAATTTGGTATCTATTATTCGTAAGTTTTTCGTAACTTCAAACTTTTCCTACTGCTACTCACGGGACTCCATTTTTCGCCCACTGCAGGCTCCTGTGAAGTTTTGGTGTTGGTGGCGGATGAGAACGACGTTCCTCCGCGGTGGGGGCGAGCGGAGTGGACAGTCGAGGTTACCGAGGGCGCGCCCCTCGACCAGGTTCTCGCTACCCTCACTGTTAAGGACCCCGACACCCGCAACAGTTTGGCCTACAGGGTAATTTACGTTGCTTCATGTCATTTCATCAGAAATCTTTGTTTTGTCTTGTTGAACTTATTATACTTCATGAAGAAAAGTTGACTACACAGACCTGCTCATATGATATGGTAGTTGCTGTTCTTCTTTATAATTACGGGTCATTTGCATATTACTCGCCTGTTGTTCCTCTGCGATAAGCTAGTACTAGTAAAAATTCATTGTCCAAACTTGAGTCTTTGCTTTACCATTACTCTCATCTCCGTAAATTATTTAAGGAATATTTTCAGAATTATGTTACTCTTTTGGATGTTAACATTACCAACAACTTTCAGCTGAAGCTTACACCAATCTGAGTGTTTTTTTCTGCACCTGCTTCGACCAGCACTTTTGCCGTTTTCAGAGGTTAAGGAGGACAAAAATCTGGACCACAAAAATATCAGCCTAATGTAAACTTCATTTACGGTGTAGCCGTACAACAATTTACTGAGAATATTATTAACATTAATACGTTGACTCCGGTTGCTTCATCTTGAACAATTATTTCATTTTTGTACTATTATGAAGCAGAATAGCCGGACGGTCTTTTTTTCCGGACAAATCCGGATATTTAGTTTTTTTTTTCAATTGCATTGGCCGGCTAAAATGTATGATAGGGGTTCTTCCTAATTAAAATTTAAAAACTGCAAAAAATGAAATGGAATTTTTACACCGGAACCTACATATATACCACTATATATTGAGTTATGGGCCTTTTTTGTCGTTTTTGTTCTCGGACTTGGCCATTTTTAGGCCATTTGGCAACCCTAATCTATGTATCACAACGTCCTTGAGAAATAAACTTCGTGGTACGCATATGTACCACTTCAAAGTCAACATGTTAAGCAACTTTTGTATGCAGAGATACTTGAATCTTAGGAGTCATCTCCGTGGATTTGGTTCAATCCTACCAGAATTTGTGCCGTTCAAATATTTCTCATCCGAATTGTTCAATTTAATAAACAGTGACAGAACGTTGATTATGAATGAAGTTAATCAGTTCCTCAATGAGATTGGATGTACCTTATATGAATAATTATGTCGAGCAATGTTCAAACTAAACTTGGGGCTCGATGTCTGAGGCTGTAGGCTCAGCTGGAATCAATTAGCTTTAATTGATTCCAATTCGTTGCAGGCCTTAATGACTGTAGTGGCCGTGGAGAAAGTTTGTAGTCAAATACAGTTTAGATGGCACCATATACGTAATTAATTTGTATTCATTTCTGCATTCAACTACAATATTTCACTGCACGAATTAAGTTGAGGGAAGAGTAACTTTTATGTGTTTCCAATTTTTAAATTATAGAAACGAGTTATCTGTCGCATACAAGTGATTTGACTCGGTTTAGTTTGGGGACGAAAAATTTTCTGTCAACATTTAATGAAGCGACGATATTTTAATGCGGTCTCGAAATGATAAGTTTCCCACGAAATTTAAATTTTAAAATTTGTTAAAAGATTTGGCGATGAGAAAAATTTTGAATACGTTAATTTTATAAGAAATTTTCCGTACGAGTAGTTCGATGAGTGATTACAAAAATAAATCATTAATTTTTTTTAGATAATTGCCTCAGGATATTCTCCTACGTGATGATATTATCGGGAATAAAACTTGAAGGAGGGTATGCTATTTTATGTAGCATTTATTCGATAATTTAGTTCATTACTTTGACAAACAAGTCTCGGTTGCGGGCTGACAAACTTGGAAATGTCCCGCCCATCGTCCTCCTTCGACGCATTTCTCCACCTTTTATGTAGATCCAGGGCTGTTCAATGATGCCACATTTGCATCTATGTTAAAAAAACTCGTTCCAATGGTTCTCAGTTCTCAATGCGCCAAGGCAAAAAATATGTTTGAATTTCCGTATAACATTTGCCTACACAATAACACGATTCCCAACCGTCGCCGTGAATATCATTACACCGAGATCTCTTTAATTTCTGAATTTCAATTTTCAAATTCTGCGGCCTGAAAATTTTCGGTGCATTTTCCTACAGGTCTCAAATGTAGCTGAATATCTCGAGCAAATAAGGCCTCGCGTCAATGCTCAGGGCTGATGGATAAATTGTCTTAATTTTTCTAGTCGCAGGATATGGGACCGAAACTTACCTTATTTTTTATGTTTGACATGATGGGATAGAGAAACCATGTCTGTCCTCCACTGATGTCATTATTTTATTCAGAGAGTTTTAAAGCAACATGCTGGGCATTTTGTCTGCGTTGAGATGAGAATCAAATTTTTTTTCAATGTTCAATCCTGCTATTTTCAGAGTCTGCCTTCAGACTTGAAACTGTGGGAAAAATAACAGAATTCTTTCTTTCAACCAATGTTCCAAGCTTTATAACACAAGCAAGTGCATTTCATCTTTCTTTCAATGGTCTCTTCAAAAATTTTAAACATTTTTTACATATTTTCCTTCAGGTAGCTCCTGATAGTGGAAGAGGCTGGCAGATGGTGAAAATAGAAGGGCGAATAGCTGGTGATGGTGCTGAGCTCAGGAGTCTGGTCCCTCTTGATTATGAAAACCCTGACCTAAAGGACGGCTTGAGATTCCAAGTTCAGGTCACTGATCAGGTAATTAAGCTATTAAGATTATAAAATAGGATCGACCATGTGATAGTTACTGAAGCTCAGCATCATAGAAATGTTGTTATGTAAACACGATAATTAAATCATTCTGTTCTCTTCAAAAATCGCTATTTCAGCCCCGTAACTTGATTATACGAGGATCATTCGTACTTATTCAAATAATCTGATTTATTTCTCATTGCTTCGGATGTTTTATTTTATTTTTTAGTTGTCTACAGCATCGTCTCGTTGATGTAGATTTGACGCGCAACGCAACCAAGTTCTTACGTACTATTATGTAAAGATTATGTTTGAAATATAAAATTAAGAAACATGTCGTATATGTATGATATCTGAAAGAACGGGATGCTAAACAATGCAAACCTACATGCTTCCTCTTGACTTCACACCATGCAATCAACTCTGGCGGTCGATTACATTTGCTCTTTTTACTCTAGGTTATCCAAGTTTATTGGATGATGAAAATGAATAAGGTATAAAGATCGAAGTTCAAGGTATACCTTCCGAATGTTCTTTAATTTCTTCTTTTGCATGTCTTAGGGAACGGATGCATGGGAGAACAAGTACAGGGTGGGCGAAGCGACCGTCATAGTGCGCATATTAGACGTTAACGACAACGCTCCATCATTCGAAAATGTTCAGCAAAGCGTGCGGGTCAGCGAAGACGCGCCACTTGGAACGGTGGTGGCAAAAGTGCCTGCCTTCGATGTGGACGAAGTGAGCAAACGAGGGATGCTTGAGTTCTTCTATAGAGGCGAATCGCTTAACACTTTGACTCCGATTGCTTCATCTTGTACTATTATTTCATTTTATTGTACTGTTTTTAAACATGGTTGCCAGACGGTCATTTTTTCGGACAAATTCCGTGATTTAATTTTTCACAATTGCGTTGGCCGGCTAAAATTTATGATAGGGGTACTTCCGAATTAAATTTTAAGTACTGCAAAAAGAAAATAAATTTAATTTTTATAGCGGAACCTACAAATAAACTAGTATATATAGGGTTTTCGGCCATTTTTGGCCTTTTCTGTTCTCGGAATTGGCCCATTTTAGGCAACCTGTTTTATGTACCACTACGTCCTGGAGAAATACATTTTGTGGTACGCATATGTACCACTTCAGAGTCAACGTGTTAATGTTTATTTGGTTGTGTTAGCTTATACTCGGTTTTGCTAAATAAGTGAAATGCTAATATAATTTAAAATAGTAGAAACGACAGTGTCCAACTCGCTCTAGCGTAACTTTTGACGCGGATCAATTAAAACCTTCATACAAGATTTCCTTGAACAGAAACATTCAAAACGATTTATTCAGCTCACTCATTCACTTTATATTCAGCTGGGTGAATAAAATGGTGCAATAAATTTCAGCATTAACGTCAAAAATTTTTTTCCTGACTGCATTAACTACAAGAATACAACGCAGAACTGCTTTATGTCGAGAACACAGAACAGGAATGGCTTGGTTCGCTACAGCCTCGCTGGTAGGAGAGGATCAAGTACTTACTTCGGCATCGACCACACAGGGACGATCAGGACCATCGGCATAGTGGACAGAGAGGCCATCAGCAAGCACAGCCTAGTGGTTCATGCCACTGACCACGGAGTGCCGCCACGACAGTCGTCCGCTACTGTAACTGTAAGTGGTAAGACTGTAATGTAATGTAGTGGTTCATGCCACTGACCACGGAGTGCCGCCGCACCAGTCGTCCGCTACTGTTACTGTAAGTG